GACCACACAAAAGGCCACACCATCTTGGTCTTCATACCTTCGAATAGATCGGCATGTTTGTGATTCTAAAGTTGTGGGATGTTGTTAAGGTAGCTACAATAGAACACTACCGTCAGAATTCCTTAATAGACCCGTAAGGGAACAGCATAGCCTGACAATCATGCAGGCCTCGGGTCATTGGGTCACAAGATCCATTCAATGCTCAGCTGTCTCCACGACAATGAGGTGTAGGAGCATGCAGTCGTCAGGCCGGAAGCGTGAAAGCAACGCTGATGTCTGAACAAGAAAGGCCGAGAATTTGACATGCCATGCCGACTTGCGTATGCGTCCAGCCGAACAAGGGCCAAAGTGCTGCAGCCCAGTGGCACACATGCGGGCCGTAAGCCGAGGGACCACGGCCCAAGGCTCAGGGCCAAAGGCCCAGCGCCGGGATCCGAGCGAGTTGCACGCTCGTCCCTTCAAGGCCACTGCATCGATCGGGTCATGGAGTGAATGGACAACTGTCTCTCTGTCCACTCATTCTTTCGCTCGGCCGACCTACTCTACCCCGCCTCGCTCTACGTTCTGCCAGCCTGCCCTACTCTACCCTATCCTGCCTAGACCGGCCCGGCCCGGCCCGGCCTGGACCGGACTTGCCCTCAAGCCCGAAAGACCAGAGTCAGCACTAACCGGCACTGGCTCAAATGGGCCTCTAGGACTGGTGGACAGGCGTGCTGGCAACTGATCTGGCCGGAGTGATTTAGCATGTGGGCGGTCCAGTGAATAGGACTGATGCATGGACTGTGCAAATATCGAGTTACACAAAGATCCCTTTTTCCCAGACCAGACTGGAGAAACAAACGCAGCCAGGCCGAGGTATTCAGTTTCACGTATACAGGCTCACATTGCCTGCTCGTCATGACACTATGTGTTGCTCGTTGATGCCTAAGTAGGGCAACAATATAACAAGTACATTACCATGTCTGCATCACAGAACCGTCGACATTCAGGGAGCGATGAATGAAAGCCGGACCACACAACACCCGACACTGACGCGGAAGTCTGGCGTCCTGGCTGTACACGTCCAGATAGTTCAAAAAGAGACAACAAGTGAATATGGGCATACATAGACAAAACGAATGCATGGTAAACAGGCTTCAACATTATGAGAAGATCTCGAAACATACATCCTCAGAAGATAAGTGACGTAGTCGATTGAAATGGCAAAATATAAGTTTATACTCAGATTACTAAATTTGGAACTATCATTCTTCGGTGGCATGGGGATATAAAGGACTGATAGATGAGTTCTTTCCACAATTAATTAAATAGACCTCATAATACCAGTGAATCTGCCCTGGCCTTGCCTCACGGCTGTACTGGACCAAATAATTGTTTCAATCTCACTGGAACGAGTCTCATCAGCACCCCCAATGGGAATTGAGATCGGGAAGTGCAGTGCGTACTTCCGACATTTTGCCAATACGTCAGATTGTCATGAGTCCCGCTAGATCAGAGGCAAGATGCTAATTCCAAGGAAAGCCAGGCCTATTCCATGCCAGTCTTTGTAGTCAAATCAAGCCTCGATTGGAGACAAGGTTAAGTGAAATTAAATGGAAGATCGTGGTGGTAAGATTTAAATTTTTCGTATGTAAGTAGAGTTACGAGACTATGAGTAAATCAGTAATATGAGATTTATTCACCCAATTTCGTTTAAGGTGATAAAGGACTAATAGTAGAATTTTTCCACAATCATATGAATAGGGCTGACGTTTCAATTGAATTTCATATAGCCTAGCTAACCCAAAAGTTGTTCTCATCAAGGATTTACAACACTTAAGACCTCGCATAAGTCTTATCAACATCCCCAGCAGGAGTCGAACTGTGACAATGCAGCATTAGAGCTTGACACGTTAACCACTCGGCCACATTGCCACGAGTGTCTTTGGGTCAACTTCAAGGAAGGCCAGGCCTTTTCCCATACCAAATTCTTTGGTGGGTTTGTCGACGAAGCAAACGTATTTTTGCTATAGTTTCGAGACTACCAGAAAATCAGTAATGAGATATATTCACCCTATTTCGTTTAAGGTGATGAAGAGCTAGTAGTAGTAGTCATAGTTCGACTCATGATGGGGGTGCTGATAAGGCTCATGCGAGATTGAAACTCCAGTCCACTTTGGATGATAACAACTTTTGGGATAGCAAGGCTATCTGAAATTCAATGGAAATGTCAGCTCTACTCACATTGTGGGAAAATTCTACTACCAGCCCTTCATCACCTAAAACGAAATAGGGTGAATACATCTTATATGTAAGATTAAATATCCTCACCTTATGAGACCGAAAAATGAATACAGCAATAACTCAGAATACAAGTTGCCCCATCAAAAATCCCACTACAAAATAGCCTCGAAATTCACATCTGCCCTTTAACCACTCACATTCATGACGGTATAGCGTAGTGGTAACATGTCGGAGATAGAAAATGCAGCAATTTCCGTCGGGTTTGTTAATAAGGCTCGTTCAGGTGAGGTCAAAACTGCACTTCAGTTAAAACAGGCTGAGAATACTGTCTAGGAAGCAAGGCCAAGCGAAATTAAATGGCATCGTGAGGCTTACTTATCTCGTAATGGGAAAACTCAACTATAACATTTTTATCCCCCTATTTGGCCTATATTAAATACAGTTCTAAGCAGAAAGAATTGCCTCCATTTTAGGAGGTCTCTTTGAGTCTGACCAGACACATATGAATGGTGTAAGATGGTGTGAGAGGCTCAAATTCAGCCACCAGCCTTTTATCACCTTAAACAAAATATGGTGAACATATCTCATTGTTATATGGATAGAATCTGGGCTTCGAAGAGTCCTTATGAGATGGATACTTTAATTTTGAGAAGGCGATTCGAAGGGATTCGTAGATTGGCCCCACTGGATACCGAAGGAGGGTTGCCTTAGACTTTTGTATTTTGAATAAAGCGAAGAAGACCTCATATCACCGTCCTACGACCCTAATGACTCCGTGCTGAGCTTTCGTTCGTCATGTGGTGGACATCGTCAGAGCCAGAAACCATTATTCACGAAAAATCACTAAAATACCTTAACCAAGAAAGGCAGCCAATCAAGATCCTACTTACGAACTTAATGAGGCACTCCATGATTTTCTCAGCCTTTCTAACTCCTGTTCCTGATGCTTTACGTACGCTAGACGTAAACTCCTTATTATCATTTATTTAATTACTCCTACTTTAACACAAAAGTATGATTTGAGAAGAAATTAAGAGTCTGGGTCATACAATGTTGAGCCAAGATCTTCTTCGCACAATTCATCTGATAAAAGTCCGAGGCAACACTCCTGTTTCCGATAAGGCTAATTTACG